CACACCCCCACCCACACCCCCACCCCCACTCCCTGCCTATTTCAGTATAACAACTCTACACCACCACCATCACCACCACCCCTCCTCCGAGTTGTGCTCATAATAGCCGGTTTAATGATAAATCATTTCGTTCCGATGATTGGGCGTGTTTGGGAGCGAGGAGAGAGAGAGAGAGAGAAAGTAGAGAAATTGAGGGAGAGGCAACTGCAATAACTTCGAAAAAATTGTTCAGCGAAGTTATACGCAGTGAAAGCATTTTCACAGATTAAAAGTGAATAAATTAAGTGGAATATAAAAGCAGGACGTGATTGCCTGTTTACCTCCTCACTGCCTTGGGGAGAAAGCAAGTTTGATTGAACTTCGAATTGTAAAAATGATCGGCTGGCCTGATGACTTTGTTGCTCAAATGACGCTCTCCTGATTTCTTGATTTCCACTTTCACCAACTAATCAACTTTTCACTCTCGATGTTTTTTGGCCATTCCCCATGATGAAAAGTTGTTAAACTTGTTTGCTTTCCGCTGAAAAAGATAGATTTTTTACTTTTTCAATTGAGAATACTGTTTTTTTTCAATTTCTTTTTAAATAACGCATCGGGGAGACTCACAACTTGCCCCATTGTCCACTTATCAGTGCGGTTGGGAAACCACTATTGTCAAATTCACTTAAATGGCAATACCTCTCGATCAGGGAATAGCATATTTGACTGAAAGAAAAGTGCAGTTTGAGGAATTCGTTCCCAAAACACAGTTTTTCACAAACGTAAATTGAGATATTATGCCTATTTGTTTATATTCACCTTTGAGATGAAATCGAGACCATGGGAATGGCCTGTGGGATGCTGTGATTGCACTTAAATCTTTTTCAGTATATTTTCCTTTAGGGGTGCGCGGTAGACTTACTTCCCCTTGGAGCATCCTGGGCAACGTGTACTCATACGGCAAAAAGGTCTATGAACCGGCAGTTGACTTCTCACTTCAAACTACCATCAACCCACTGTATGACATAGTCGACCACTTCTACAGTATTCACCTTACCCTGCTTCCTATCATTGTGTTTGTCTCTTTTACAACTGCAAATTACTCTTCGGTCCACCCTCTTGAATTTTGATGTTTCTCCCCTCTGTGAAGTTCGAAGTCGGCTAAGGGCTAATGAAAATTATCAAAATGCCTACCATTCGAAATAAATAAATAAATATTCGCGGTTGCTGACGTAAAGGCAAAATTATTTTTATTTCTCATTTCTCCGGCCTGTTTTTTTGCACTCAAGAGATTGATAACCTAGATCTACTTCCGATTCACCAGTAGCAACGTTTTGACGCCCTACAATATCATTTTTTATTGCCATTTTCTGAAATCAACCTAACTTTGCTAAATAAAAATTGGTAAATAAAATGGAGAGCTTTTTATTCATGCAACATTTAAAAAACGATTACTTGTCAATTTTGCAACTATTTGTTAAAATATACAGGACGGTTGACTTGATAAATTGTGGAGCAAAATTAATCGTTTAGGCGGTTGCGTACAGTTATTGAATTCTGATATTTACTGCTATTTTGTAGTCCAATTATAAAACTGCAAATATTCAATCAAAGAATATTCGATATTCGGTTCGATATCTTTTCCTTTTGTCAAGGCCATGCTGTCCAACATACTCAGGTAAATGGATAATTCAAGTCACTATTATAAAAATTAAATCAAGAAATTAAGTTGATAGGATGACAAGTACTTGATAAAGTCTGGAGTTAGTGGTTTAGCAAATTTGATTAGCATGATAATTTATCCAGATCAATTTCATTGTTAAAGTGTTAGAAATGATGTGTTCTTCCAGTGTCAATACATCAGTGAAAGTTATAACCCAAATCTCTATTTGAAAAGAAGTAAGCACAAATTGCTAGATGTTGGATTATACCTGATTGTAGGAGTTGCTTTATTAATTACCTCTTAGATCCGGGTTCAATCGAGAGTTCTAGAACATGGTGAATTTTTCCATCATGAATTCTGACAATCAACTTGCCTAAATCACCTAAAAAATCTTTGCTAGTTATTATGCTAAGTATTCTATTAAATATCAATAAAACAAATGTTATTTCAGAACCTACTTTGGCGGCAATTAATTTTCATAATAAAATCTGCCTATTATCACTCTTCACATAAATGTAACAGGAAAAATGAAAGTTTCACAAATGGGTTGCTTGCTTTATGTATGACACAATAATAAAATTGTTTATTACGGAAGAAATTAGAATCTAGTTATAATATGATATCCATTTAACACAACTAAGAATGTCTAATTTAAATTAGTTCCCACTGAACTGATATGAAGTTAAACGAATTAATTGTTGTTTTTGTTATTATTATTATTATTATTTAAGCATTAAAAATGCATTTCAACAGGGTGAATTGAATAATCACTTCGCCAAAATGTAATATTGAAATAAAACCCACCTTACATATAAATATTAAATGAATATTAAATATTTAATACCTTGAACTCAACAAATAAGAATTCACAAATTGAGTTGAAATATTATGGACAATGTGATTTGAGATTAATAAGAAAAAAACACTATAATTTGATTAGTTTCGCTCTTGAATAGGACGAAAAAGTCAAAAATTCAAATATCTACTTTATTGCATTTTCTTTCAAACACGTCTTAATGTAGAGCTGGGACTTGTTCAGTTTAACAAAACACATCAGAGCGGTAATATTCAAATAGTAACTGGGATTATTGGGGAATGGTCAAGGTGTTGAGACAAATCTCATTTCCTCAAAACTTTATTCCTGCTCAATCTTCCTCTGAAGAGGTGCTGCTGATAGCGTCATCGTCTTCAGTTGCTTTTGTTGCAGCCCCTGTTCCTTGAACTGCCTTTACGGGTGCATTGGCTTTTGTTCGGATCTGCGCACTGTTCGATTGATTCAAAATTCTCGGCGTTTCGTTAGCCAATGGCATCCTCAAATTCGGCCTCACAGATTGTTGCATCTTCTAAAAATGTTAAACGAAAAGTACAAAACCACACAATAATCACATTCGTTGGAGAATTTGGGTGAGTTTGGAAAATAATCTTTAATACAGAAAGATCTATGTAAATTTACGTGTCTTGAGTTAAATCACCTACTTCGCAAAGGCCATATTTTACGGATGATTGATACGAGAGAAAGAAAATCTATTTGGAAAATTTTTTTTCACAAATACTAAGTCAATTCACGCATGAATATTTTGGTTAGAATTTATTTATATGTGTTTCTATCAAGGGATCACTATTTACCTAATTTAAATGATAAAAAGGAAAAAAAATTAAGTCTACTCTAATAATATTAACATAACATATGTTACATGAGTCGATAATTTATATTATTATAAATAAAAAAGGACTTTGAACCAATATTTGTGTACATGTGTGCGTGCATTAAAACAATTATGCCTTTGAAAATAAAGCAATTACCTCGGACGATTTTGGAGCGAATTTCTGTTCTGGAGGAAATGATTCCGATCCTGTTTGAGTACTTGGAGCGCCTTCGGAACTCTGTGCCAAAGACACCGGAGTCAGTGGTGTTTCTGGACGCTGAGCCCGTTTTTCATACCTTCTGTGACCAGATCCTGTTCCGTATCCACTCTTTACAGCTGCCACTCCTTTAATTTGCAACGAACTGCAAACTGAAGGAGGTCTAGCGAGTCGGAATGCTGATTCAGGAGAAGCCGTTGACAAAACAGAGCTTGCTCCTCTCCCGAGAACGGACTGGGTATCATTTGGAAGACCGGGTATCTCTGAGCTCGAAATTGCGCTCAAACCGGGGAGGTGATAGGTTCCATTGCCGTTCTTTTCTGTCAAGAAAATATCAAAACATATTACTCTACTGACTATTTATAAGTAGCAAACGAAGTAAATAACAAACCGAATGACTTGGGCAGGCTCATCTCATATGCCCAACCAGCGGGTATCCAACCAGGTTGTTGTTCAAGTCTAGTAACGAGTCTGGCCAGTTTTTCAACACCTTCAGCCATATTACTGTTAACTAGAGTATGAGTATACAAATGTTGGTTTCGAATGGCGAAAACCTTTGATTCCTCTACGATTTCCAGAATTTCTTCATCCTAAATACAAGAGAGGAGATAATTTAACTACTGAAATAAGAAGTCATAAAAAATTTTTATTTCAAATGAAAGGCTTTATGATATTTATCATTAGCCCTTAATCTTTGACTTCAGCTTCCCCCAAGAAGGGGGGGGGTACATTTATAGCAGTTAATTAATAGCAATTCATTAGCTGTCTTCTTGCTTCCCAGTATCTTTGGCTTTCCGTACTTGTCTTTAGGGCTGGACACCGAATCAGGTGGGTCTTCTCCATTTCCTCATGTAGGTTACATGTAGGTGACATGTGGGTTGAGTGTATACTCCCAATCTGTGAAGGTGTTTTGCCAGGCAATCGTGTCCGGTACGTAGTCTAAATTCAGCAACGGCTTCGATTCTTGGCCAGTCGGCTATGTCGGTGATTGCCACTGCCCACTGTTTCTCCTTTGTTCGGGCTTTAATTTCGTTGCACCTTGAGGTCTGGAATTCTCTCCTGATTAAGGCCTTCATTGTGTGGAAAGACATCGGCCGGTCCATGCATTGCAAAATCGTTGTCCCCTTCTTAGCAAGTGTGTCAACTACATCAATGTCTGCTAATGGGTTCATAGGGGAGAGAGGCTTTTTGGTTTGTCATCGATTTGTAATGCTTTCTTCAGTTCTATGGCTTTCTGTATTAGACCAGATTGCGTTTTCAGGTGTCTTGGTCTATTCTCATAGGTGCTGAAGAACTTGTCCATGGGAATGCGCAGTAGCTTCTCATACAGGATCAAGGCCTTTTCTTTGATAAGGGAACATATTGTGGTGCTTCCTGTAACTAGGAGCATTGCATCAATGGGTGTTGATTTTATCCCTCCAGTAATTAGTCATAATGCTTGGTTGTGTGCCTTCTCGAGTGGTTTGAGAGTCCCCTCTGTGGCTGTAATGAGTGGCTCACAGCAATACAACATTATTGGCTGAATAAACATCTTGTAAGTGGTGTTTAGAGTTGAGCGTGCACAGCCCCATACGCTACCAGCAAGACGCTTCAGTACATTCAGTCTATTGGAGACTCGTTCTGCTATTTTAGCAATGTGACTTTTCCACGTTAGCTTTGTGTCAAAAGTCATTACGAGATATGTGAACTCATTGGTTTTTTCTATGGTAGTATCCTTGTACCTTAGAAGCGGGTTTATGCTGTGATGGGTCAAAGAAAAAGTTTGGAATGCAGTTTTTGCAGTGTTGATTACCATTCCATTGTTGTCGCACCAGTTTGCTAGTAGTTTAAG